CCCCCCCCGCGCCACGAAATCTGCACTTCCTCGCCAAAACCCGCGCCTGCCACGAAATCAACATTTTAGTGTGAACTCCCTGCCGCAAAAAAAACCTGCTAACCAACCAACCAACAGCCACCTGCCAGCGGCGCCAGCAGCAACCAACCATCTGACCACAACGTAGCATCCCTTTTGTGGGCCATCCGAGGGTAAAATTTAGAATAGGAAGAAGCCTATTGCAACGTGGCATGCCTTTTGTGGGCCACAGATACAGTTTAGAGTAGGAAAAAGCCATTGCAACGTAGCATTCCTTTCGTGGGTAAATTTAGAAAAGGAAGAAGCCATTGCAACGTAGCGTGCCTTTTGTGGGCCACCCGAGGGTAAAATTTAGAGCGGGAAGGAGCCATTACAACGAAGCATTTCTTTTTGTGAGCCACCCGATGGTAAATTTTAGAGTAGGAAGGAGCCATTACAACGATTTACAACGTAGCATTCCTTTGATGGGCCATTCGAAAGTAAAATTTAGAAAAGGAAGAAGCCATTGCAACGTAGCATGCCTTTTGTGGGCCACCCGAGGGTAAAATTTACAGCCGGAAGGAGCCATTATATAACACTGTAGCATTCCTGTTATGGGCCATTTGAAGGTGAAATTTAGAATAGGAAGGAGCCATTACAACGCAGCATTAGTTCGAATTCGATCGACTTCGAATCGACGATAATTTTTACACTCCGGGGGGGGAACTAGTTTGAGTTCGAGTTCGAATTCCAATCGACGACATTTTTGACGCCCGGAGGGGGGGAAACGCAGTTCGAGTTCGAGATCGAATTTCCAATCGACGACAATTTTGACACCGGGGGGGGGACCAGTTCCAGTTCGAGTTCGAATTCGAATCGACGACAGCGATTTTGGAGTTCGACTCTTTCTATTCGCCCACTGGGTTGACTTCTAACAGTTCCAGTTCGAGTTCGAGATCGAGTTCGAGTTCGAGTTCGGTTCCTTCCATATATATCCTTTCAAGGTTAATAGTTAAGTTCATCAATACTGTATAACTGTTTCAGTTCGAGTTCGAGTTCGAGTTCGAGCGGGGCACACTATGGTAGCGCAAAACTGAGGGACCTTGACCCTGAACCCCCCCATGTAGGCCAATATGCCATGCAGAATCTGGGTTGGGGGGGCCGGGGACGGTCACCCAACTGCAGATGAGAGGCCGGTTCAAGAACAAGTATGCATCCACGCCTGTCAGCTGTCTGAAATGAAAGACAAGACTTGACCCTAGCCTTCAAAGACAAATTTAAAAGTTCATTAAAAAGGGAAAACATATGAACAACATGATTGACCTTGCTTTGCTGCCCCAAAATCCCGAGTAAAACTAAAGGTTTAAAGACACACAATTATATAAAGCAACAATTGTTGGCCGGGAATCCCACATGATATCGAGCGTCTCAAAAACTGGATGTGATAGGGCATGGATTGTTCCCAGCACCACCCAGGGCTACTGTGGTTGTTACCATCCAACAACCGCCCGAACTGGCAGGTAATACATGGTAATACTGATACTAATAACCTCTGCGGCGCCTGCGGCCTATATTTCATTCCCTCAGAATCTGGGCCCCAAGCAACACATAGGCTTTATGGGCCCGTTCGGATTCTGAGGGGTATGAAGCTCCGACACCCACAGTGTCCAAGACTCGCTCACTCCAACAGATACCCATCCAGCCTAGGCCAGGCATGTTCCTCGGCACAAAACACCATCAAGTCGGCTGAGTGAGGGCATTTGGCTGCGATGAGCGATCTCAGCTTGAGATCCTCGTAGCGACTTCGAAGCCAAATCTATCGGAGCCCAGACATTTTCATAACCCAAACACCATCAAGACATACACTCCAAAGCTGGTCCCCATTCTGGCACAGCTGACATGAGACTACTGAGTGGGCTTCATGAAATATTGTGGCAACAGCCGTGCCAATGCAATTTGTAAAACAACATCATACAGTACATGCTTAGGTTGAATCAGGTTGCACCTAAAGACCTAGTTCCCCATGGCACAGCAGCCATAAGATGACTTCCCGTGTCGCAGCCCAAGAAAGGTCAAGTGGTCAAGTACCTAGTATATACAGTCCCAGACAGGTCGTGTTCGGGATTTAGGAGTGTGTGTAAATCTTGGGGACTTCCATCCACTAAAATGAGTCACTCCGGTGCATGGCTTCAGTCGTCGAAGGCTTACGTATTAGGACGCCTTCTTTCGTGCATGTCGAGGACAAGAGGGAGACGTGACCGCAGCTTTAGACTCGAAGAGGAAGAAGACACATCGAGCAACAACCTATTGGTTTTTGGATGTCTCCTGAACAAACAACCTATATATATATATATTATATATCCCTAGGGCTCCAAGTACCTTTTAAGAAGGTGCCTGGGGTCGGTGCCCGGTCTAAAGGACTTTAGAAAGATGTTCTGAATTCCGCTGCCACACATGTCCAACGTTTAAATAACATGCCTTGCCAAATCCACATTCTCTCGCAGCATTGATTCTAGAAAATGACAAACCAATTCTCTAGTGGCACATCACATAAACAAAGTGCGTGTTTTCCCGCGCCCTACCGGCCCTACTCCTCTAGAAGATGCATCCCTCAAGGGTTTCACCAGGCAGCACCGGCAGCGCCAATGTCAAGGAGCAATCTCAAAATATCCAAGTAACACTGCGAAACCATCTCTTTCTCTCAAAAGAGAGGTCAAAACACCAGGGTTAAATGAAGCAAATGACCGGTGTTTGATCAAGGACCAAGCAGACCAAGCACCAGGGATATACGTGTCGACTCATTGTGGTGCCCGTTCGCTGGCCTTCCTTTGCTTTTCGGTTCCTAACTAGCCTTCCTTTCCCTTGATCGATCAACCGAACTGGGCTCCTATATATCTCACACGCATTCCTGAATCAACCGGGTTGGTTTAGACTCTTTGACCCTGAGATCCTTGCTTTGCAGCCCTGGCTAACTCTTCGACAGTAGGCTTAATAAACTCTTTCATTGGAGAGAGCCTGTTTTCAAAATAAGAAAGGTCAAAACTGTCAACTTAGTAGTCAGTCCCAAAAGTCAAAGTCAAAACAAATCAAATCAGAAAGTTTCAGAAAGTCAAAAAAATCAATTGGTTCAGATGCGACTTTTTGTTGACTTGTTTCCGACTTTTTTTTACTTTTATGTATTTATTGTTTATTATATGTTTTTACATGTTTGAGTTGTTTTCTAATGTTGACGTTTTTGACTTGTATTTGACTTCTTTTTTAACGTTTCCGAGTTGTGATCAATTGTTTGTTGTTTTGACTTTTATTTTTTTGACTTCGTTTTTTGTTCGAGTTTTGATTTATTTATTTTTTTAAACGTTTCTTTTGACTTTTCTGACTGCTTTTTGAACTTTTTCATTTGACCTTCGTTTGACTTGTTTTTTTCATTTGACTAACAAAAAAAATGTTTAGACTTTGTTTAAATCAAGGATTCTGGCCTTACCATATGAAAGAATCTTTTAACAGTAAGCGACTGGTTGTGCGCAAAGCAGCCCCTGCAGAACCTCCTTCCACGGTGGACCGAGCATCATGAGGTGCAGGGATGCGCCCAAATACATCGCGTAAAGACGGCAAAGGGGCAGGCCTGTGGCAGCCAAACCAAGGATCCGCCTGGTGTTGTTCTTTTTCAAGGAGGCTGCCATGATATGCCATTAAAGAGCAAGACGGGGTGTTGGATTCCAGGAATTATCCCCGGAATAGAGGATGGAATATAGACACTGAAGGGTTTTGTGAAGTGCATTTTTAGGATCCTTTTGGTGCCATGGATTTTGAGTCGGATTGGAGATCACGGAGTAGAAGCTGTCTAATCTTCTGTAAATCCCAAGGGCTCATGGAGCCTCATACGGAGAGATTGGACCCTCATATCAAATACCTAGGTTTTGAGGGGCCAGTTGGGCTATTTGGAGCGTCTAGGTATGTTATTTACAACTTGCGTTCACCCTTCCCAGAACAAACAGAATGATCAATTCACCCACGTTGGAGGCCTTCGGTTGTGTTTCTTTCCTGGATAGTTCCAAGAAAGAGTGGAATGATGCTCATGATAACATGACCATGTTTAAACGACAACATGATTCGCAACAATAGCCAATAGCAGTATATGTTTATAGGGCCCTCTACCCAAAGAATCTGCCCAAACAACTTCGCAGTCAGATGTGGCGCAGTCAGAATCGACCGCATCATCACGGGCTGTCGCGCGTACCCCCTTCCGGCGCGCGGAGGCCTATGCCACGCCCTGCCATGGGGCTCTCCCCATGTCCATCCACACCCCAGGGCGCTTCCTCGACGCCTAGGACCCCGCTGCTGGAGGCTCTGGAGGGTGCTTGGTGGCGCGGAGGGGTGAGAAACGGCCAGATTCCCACGGATTCGGGGTCCCATCCCGCTGCATAGGGGGAGTATAGGCTTGTCAATGGCAAGAACGCAAAACGAATGACACATGTAGTGAGCTGAAGGTTGTCATGATGCTGCAACCTGAACGACCTTCGGAAGCCAATCGAAATATGATCTGGAACTACCATGGAAGTAAAGGAACCTGATCTTCCTTTCGGGACCATGCCATCCACTTCCGACTTCCAGGAAGTGTAGCCAGACATGAAGAGACCAGACGACCAGAGAGGTGTTGAGGTGCTTCGATTCCCCACGATGGCGCTGGGCTGTGGGCTGTCGGAGGTTGGGGGAAGTTCATGGACCCTTTGAACCCCCGGACCAGGGGGCCCTGGTTGAGATCCTTTACATGTTCCAAGTAGCTGGGACTATGAAAAAAAGCCATGCAGAACACGTGACGCAAGCTCGGCACTGGCTCAACCCAAGTAGCCGAGTCGACTTCCTTTCCCCATCGCCCCCCCACGCTCTATTACCTTCCATCGATCACCCTCGGTTCCCGGACGGTGGGCCAAGGTCGCGAGCACCGGTGAAGTGGTAAAGAGGTAGGACCAAACCCTCGGGGGCGGGACCGGCCCGGCTCGCGCGAGCGGGGTGATCGGTGATTGGTGGATTGGGTGAGGATCACGTCTTGAGATCCCTGTTCGGGCTCATGAGCCCGAGAGGAGAACACCCCAGCCATTGGAAGGGTTTTTGTACCAGGACCTTCCAACAAGTGGCGATCAGGCCAGGGATGGTTTCTGCATGGGGTCAATGTAGGCAAACAGATCCAGTCGGAGATCCAGTCCCAGTGTGTGGGATATTTTCGGGTCGTTCCTCGTGTCTGCTGGGACAATGCTTAAGTTGATAGAACCGGTTCTTCGGCATACCCGACTGAACCAACGAAGGAGAAACGGGGGGCCATCTTCCATCCGGGTGCAGAAGAAGAATTCACATGGGCCATGCCACAGAAAGATTAGTGGTTAGCCTTCTCATTTTGAGAGACACCCTGATGGCTTCCAAGATAGGTGAATAGGAGACCTGAGACCTGAGAGACCTAAGAGCCACCCCTCTCAGGGTGGTGTAGGAGCTTGCAGTAGAGAATCACCCAGCCACAGCTGCTTCGAAAGAAGCAGAACGCATCGAATGTAGAGGAATGCATTGATACATATATGGAGGTGTTTTCAAACCATCCTTGGTAGGGCAGTTGTATTCATTAAGCAGTCTACAAATATCTACCAGCACCCTCCAACAGGCTGCTAGTTGAGGGTTGTTGGACCCTGTCTCAGGTCTCTTCCTTGGTGACCTGTAGAGTCGGGTCCTGGTATACAAATCCGATGTTTAAGACATCTGCGACAGGTGCAATCCGATGCCTCGCTCGAAGTCCGTGGGGGATCCATGATCCCACGGGTACTTCCCACGGTACTTCCCACGGCTTGAACTTCAGTTGAAACGTTTGGAAGACATCTCTGAAACCATTGAATTGTGTTTTCATGTCCAGTTTGCACTTGCCTAGGTTATAAAAAAAAGAATCCACCCAGACTGATTCCAATCTTCATCTTCATTCACCCACCAACCTGATTGGGGGGCTGTCCACAGGACCAGCAAGTTAATGAAGTGAACCGGATCACACATTATGTGCGCCTCCCTGTACCATCTCCGTATAATCATCCATGGGAAGAGTTACACCACCATGTGCCATGGTCATGTTCATGTGCTAAACACATGTACCCTAGCCTAGGATTCCAAGAACCTTGACATTTATGTATATATTTTGTTTTTTTAGAAAAGAACCATTAGTATCCATTAGTTTTACTAAGTTGTTTGACGTGGTTTCCTCCAGGTCAAGCATTCTGTTAAAAGTCGAACTGAAGGCGATCGGGTGCATGTAACGATTCCAGTCCCATGGATTTAATGGATGGTCTGGGATCGGCCTCGAACAAGTCTGTGGAGCACCATGACCAGGAGGTGATGACCAACATCGCTCCGGAACTGCCCCGATCGATTGGGTCACTTCACGATCGATCGTGTCATTGGCGATGCCAATCTCCCCTTCAAAAAGAATCAAAACAAATACTCCGAACATACGGATAATCACGGTGGCACAACGGAGAATCACCATCTCCAGTAGACATGCTGCCGGTGTTGAAGTGAACCAAACCCCCCTCCTTCCAGTGGAATGTCATCATCAGGCCGTCAAGCCGCTGGCTGGCGCATTTGGAGTGCATGCCACCGGCACGGTCACTAATGCGGATCACAACCTGAGGTGTGCGTGGCCGCTACTGGATGTTTGGGCTGCAGAAAAGCATAAGAAAAAGCCAGTGAACGTAATATTTACTAAACACATCTAAAAACTACCACTAGACACATCTAAAACACTAAGCATAGAATAGAACAAGCCAGTGAACGTATTTACTAAACACTACCACTCTGGGGCCCTCCGTTTTGACATTGACAGATTCTCTGGGGCACTCCGGCGCCAGTCGTCATCCAACCAGTGGTCGACGTTCCGAATGAATTCATTCTTCAGCAGTGTCGTGAAAGAAGAAAAGTCTGGCACCCTTTTGAACCTACACGAATCAATCCCTCCTTCTCACAAGAAGTGACAGGGCCCCACATCTGAACCAATTCCAGTCAATGGGAAAAAAGGCGCACGAAAACAATCGAGGTTCTGTTTCTTTCCAGGGCCTTTCTGCGTGTATCCCTCCTGCCTGGCTGTCATCTGCACAAAGAGAAACTCGGATCGGATGCGGCTCTGTTCCAGCCTTGTATCGTGAGGCGTCGCCCCACGTTGCCGAGCTGGAAAGAGACACTATATACCTGGACCCTCCAAAGTACTCTAAAAATTGGGACATGACCCGAACAAAAAACAGGTACTTGTACCGGTACCCATCTTGTACCCATTGTCCACGAATGGGTCGACTCCAGGTATAGAGAAAAGACATTGGATATGGCCCTCAATTGACAACTGCGAAGAGGTTGGGCCCGTTCAGATTCTTAAAAGACATTGCAGGCAAAGGAACACTGTTTGGGACTCAAGACATGGCCATGGCCGGACTCAAACATGGGACTCCACAAAACATATTTCTTTCATTTTGAACATCTCTCTCTTTTGCAATTCCCGTGAAGATCCCGAAAACCCTTTAGTAAGCTTCTAGTAACAAGTAGCTATTAGGGGCTCCTGGCCTTACTACTAGGAGCAAGGACGCTACTAGGGGCTCCTGGCATCGCTACGAACGGAGCAAGGACGCTACATGACGCTACACCTTTCATCTTTCACCCGACGATCTAAACACCCTCCCAGCAGCTGCGCGAGCTTTCTCAGCTGCTGCACGTGCACCTCAGAGCACGTGGGGCACTATTTTTTTCGGTCGGTCGGCCGGTCTGACAGAGCGCTACGATGGCGCCCAGGTGCGACCCAGGTGCTGTTCGAGAGAAGCTCTTCCATAATGTAAAACAAATATCTCGGCACCTCAGGGCATTGATCTTCGAGCAGTGTTCAAATCTTCATCCCCAAACAGATAGGGTTTGGGAACCAGCCCCGGACCTCACTCTGCGTTTCGGTGGAGAAGGTCCGACAACCCGTAAGGATTCTTAGGGCAGGAGTTCGTGGTCCTGAGACTGCACAGTTTTGACATGTGTTGACTCCGTGCGGGAACGGTGTCCTGACATGTGTGTAGCGGTTATGACGGGTCAATGAAGGATTTATACATGTGAGACAGGTAGCAAAAACGGGATGCCATTCATGAATGAAAAAAAAGGTACTTTGCATGGGCAAAATGTATCAAAATGTGTTTTTTCAACAAAAGGTGATCTGTACCAGCACCTTCCAAGGTGGTTTTTGAACACTCCTTAACCTGTAAAAGGCTATTTATAAACACCTCTTGGATCCTCTTGGAAGGTCCCGGTAGTAATGGGTTCACCAAAGGTGTCCACACTTCTCCCTAACCGGCACCCTCTTTCTGGCAGGTTCGGTGCCCAGAAAGTGCCGGTTTTGTTTGGATCCCAAAACAAGCCAGGAGGCTCCCCCCAAAAGTTTTTTGAACGTTTCTGCATGAAACCGGTGGCACCATTTAGTACACAAAAAGGTGTACCACCTTTTTCTCGGTGCATTTCCCAAATTTGTTTTTGTTTCAGGGTCCAATGCTGAAATACTTGGAGTCTCAAAATACCTCGGAGACCCTCTATTTTTGGACCACCAACCACCCAAAGTTTAGACCTATCAAAACAAAGGTCATGTTTGGGTTCTGTATATTCCAGTCCCATGTGTCGTGTGGTTCTCGACCCTTCCAGTCGTGTCCTCTTTCTTCATCTCAGGTGCACCTTCGACTGTCGTGACCAAGGAGCGTGGCAAAACTCCACTTTCTCTGACCTGAAAAAGCGCCCGAACACGTCTGTTCCGACTAAAATGGCCGACCTCTGTCCGGGACCGCGGCTTGGTTGGTTTTCAAAAGAAACGAAACGAACAAATGGGCTAGGAGTTGGTTGGGTGGCATTGAACCGAACATATATCATATCTGAAAACTATCACATTGGAGATTCAAACTGAACTCATTCAGTTTAGGCCGCCCACATGAGCCGACGGCTCAAAATGCCAATCACGGGGCGACAAAAGCACCCAACTCCGGCCTTTGAATCCCACTGCCAGTGGCAGAAGGAGATGTTTAGAGAACATCTACCCTACACACCCCAACCCTATAAACTTGTAGGGCTCCAAAAGATCGGAGCAACCGTGCCTTTGTCATTCCGACTTGAGCCAAAATGCTGGTTCTCTAGGATTTTTCCTTCTTTGAAAGTGGTGCCCACGGCGGGCGCCATGAACGAAGCAGTGCAACGTTGTTCGGTCCATAGCACAATGGATTCTTGGAAAGGCTCCCTTACGGGGTTTCCTGCATGGTGAAACGGAACACGGGCGAACATGCGAATCGGCGTTTGGTGACACGAATGGAACCCTGCCTTGCAAAGTACACAAGCTATTTTTTTGACGCTTGATGCAATCTTCTCCTGGCGAGCCAGATGCGACTACCAGGTTTCTAGTTGCATGGCATCATATGGGGTGCTATTTCCCTTGTAATTAGCCTTTCATCTCCCCCTTCGCGCATTTCTCATCAGGGCTGAGGGATGAGTGTTCCGAATGGCTGCGAGTGGTTTGGTCATTGGACCTGCTCGCTGACAATCGGTCTTGATGTAAAGGAGTTTCGCGCTGCTGTTGGAAAACGTTTCGCGCAATGACGACATGTTTATTCTATGATGCTTGGACACGTGCCTTCGCTTTGCGCTGTACCCTTGACCGCACATGTGACCAGTGCACTGTTGTCTTGCAAACAGTGAAGCTCGACATCACGCTTGAACTCACTGCTTCTACAAGCTCAAAAAATCAGGCAGTGCATCAAACCCCGAGCTAGTGAAATGATTTCGGCCTCCGTTGTGGAGCGGGCAGAAGCTCCTTGACGTATGCCATGAAAGTGGCCAATACGATGACGGACCCTCTATAGAGGGCAAGCCTCTTGGCATCTTCCACTGCGCTCGAATGGTTTGCGTCTGTGTACAGGACTAAACGCAAATCCTCTTGTCAGTCGGCGGTTCTGCCTCGCAAGCAGCTTTTAGTTTCCCAGAGGTAACACATTAGTCTATGGAGACGGCGATCGCCTGCCCTGCTCCATTTTGTTACCCTTCGCGTCAGATCTCCTATCCAATCGATCACGTCTGGTCTTGCTAAGCGACTTGCCCACAACACTTTCATGAGGATTTTGCTGGCATTGGCCAGTTCTCCGCGCTCATCCCATTCGCTGATCGGGATGGAACCCTTTGGAAGGTTGCTTGCCTTCAACTTCCGCAATTCAGTACTTTCTGCATGCTTCATGGACAAAATCGTCATGAGGCAGCCTAGGTTAAACTGTCCACCCGACTTCAAAAGTTCTTCTTTGGATATGATCTTACTGTATATTACTGCAGCCCCGAACTTGATTTGTAAGCAACTCTTTACGAACCGCTTGCTCAGCTCCCGGGTGTACATACCCCAGCCACGGCGATCTGTCAACTGATGAACACCTAAGGGAATGTCTCTCGAAATATGTTCTGACTCAACAAACAGGTTGGTCGGCATCACTGGACCCGAATCACCTTCAGAGCGCAAGCTGTTGGAAATCGTTTGGAGCAATCTTTTCATTGTAGAAAGCTGATCTCCCAGCCAGCGCTTGCACCTTCCAAAGGACTATGCTTGAAATCCTTTGGGTGTTGACACCGGAACGAACCAAGATCTTTTGCGCGTTGTCTAGATGAGGTCCCAACCCTCCATGCCTTGAGATAAGGCTGTCCGTCCTTGTCTGTCAGTCCGAACGCGCAACCGTCACAACAAGTCTCATACAACTCGTGTCGTTTCTCTTGATGAACTGAGTTGCAACAGTTCGTTCAACATCCAACCATCGCTGAACTTGGGCCACTCGAAAGCGATGTGTTCTCCTCTCTCGGCAACCTTTACGCAGTTTGCTAAGAGAACTTTGCTTCTTAGTCTTTTGGCTTTCAACTTCTTGGCATAGGCTGGACCATACTGATGCAGACGCATTTTCTGCCAAGGACTCCATGAACTGCATGGAATGCTTCCCCAAAGGTCGGCCCCCCTTGAACTGGTCTACCATCGACAAAAGACTTTTGTCACCTTCATCTTCCAAGTCGATGCAACCTGAGATGTGACACCCCCCCTTGATTTGTTTACCTCTCCTAAATTTGAGTTTTCACTGGAGCAAAATTCACATTGCATAGACTTGGCAGGGTCTAATCCTCCTTTCTCGAGGTGGCTTCTTTGAACAGTTCTGCAGGGACAGGAGTTCAACCAAGGATGGATGTGACAAAGTCAGGTCCACATGAGGGTTCTTTCCCAACATTACTTGTCATGGTCATGATTCTGGCTTTCACATTTTCTGGCTTCTCCTTCGTGAAGAAGTACGTGCGTCCCCTCCAATTTCGAGATGAAAACTTCTCTGCTCGGCGACATGGACGGCCAATCATTGGCATATATATGCATACGTTGAGTTCTGTTCCTACAAGTCCAAACAGTTTTGCGTTGAGTTGTCACTTCGGACGGATCAAAAAAATCTTTTCCAAGTGGTGTAAACAAACGCTTCCTTGGACGGACATGGACTCTTGCCCAAGCAGCTTTAGCCTCATCGTATTCCCAATAGTCATTTGACGCCTCAGCATCACAGCAATGCACATGAGGATTCAATTCTTTGGCTTCTTCTCATGAACTTCAGGATGGAACTATCGGGTTTCCTATGACTTTTTGGCGACTACCTTCCCCATTCAAGATCTGAATTGAAATGTCTGCATGGCAGCAACTTTGGATTTCTCACTGTCTTGCTTTTGCCAATTTCTCATCTTCTAAAAGCTTCCCGATTCTGGCATAGCACTCGTCACTGTCTTACACCTTCAGCTATCTTGTCACACCCGCGGCATCCAACGGTTTGCCAAATCGGATGCACCTTTCCAAAGTCACAGCGCTTGCTTGTTTCTGGTGACCACCTCATGTGCCTCACATGCTGGACAGATGTCTCCGGCAACCATGCTGATACAAGGCGTGGGTGGCTTGGAGGCGTTGTAGCAAACCCCAGCGTGGGCGATGGGCCAACCAACAATGAATAGTACAATTCTGAAAAAAGTTCATCGTCGCCTCGTCGCCTCGGTGAAATTGAAATAAAGCAACCAGAAAATTGCCCAACGCCCTTGTCGGACCGTGCCGCCGAAGCCGCTGCAAATGTCAGCCTCAAACTCCTCCACCACGCCAAGGTAAGCGTGGTCAAAGAGTTGAGGGTGCAGCATAAACCTGCTTGAATGTCTCGCGTCTGACCATGCTGTTTCCCCCATCACTCACCAGGCTTATGGCTGCACGAACGCGTTGTCCACCATTTGCTGAACAAGGCTCCTACTCCGCTTGCTGACGCGTGTCCTGCTTGTCAGCAGAGTTGGGAAATGCACTGGGCTCTGCAATGCTCTTTGGCGTTGCGTCCCAACAGGCGTTGCGCGCTCGCTTCAACCTCCTTTCCCGACATGTCTATGGCTTTCCGGGGCACCCGTGAATATTGGCATGGGCCACATTGTAGTGGAAAGCGGAAGCGCCACCTCCTTGCCAACCTGTCAGCGAAAGGCGCAAGGCTGCCGAGCATGAGAAGCATCAACGCCAACAGCGCCAAACACTCTGACCAAAGCCGGCTTGAGACTTTAGCTTGTGGCCGAACACCTCGCAAGTGCAACCGTTGGACAGCCCAGTCCTTCCATGAGAGGATCTGGGCATGCTCCACATCCATGAGGAGCTTTGCCTTTTCTGCACCAAGCGCAATGTCAGGCCAACTTGTTGGGACCCCTGCGCTTAAACTGACTTCATAGCTGTAAGCATATTCACAAAATCATTGGCGAGACGCTTTCCAGAGCTGGTGTCAAGGCTCAAAGCTCCCCGGGCCCTGTCAGAGGGCGCATAGCTTTCTGCCGTCCACAGCAAAATCCACAGCATCCATGGCTGCATGACTACAGGAGTGAAAGCCATAAACTGGCGAACAACGTCAAACAACATGCCTGGTCTTCAAGAAGTGTTCAATTCAAGTCTTCAACTTAAAATCTCAAAACCACTCATTTTCCCGGTTCCCCCATCATTTTCCCACCGTCTTCCCCTGATTTCGTGTCGCCTGAGAAACTTGGGTGAAAAGCTTGGAACATGATCCACAAAACACCTTCCGTACAAGATGAGGTGAATTCTTCAGAAAGGTCACAACTTCTGGCACCATCCAAACTGGGTAGTGCCAGCGACTATTTTCTAGACTCTATCCTTCCAAGACGATTGAAGTATGGTTGACCTCGTGTTGTAGTCCAAAGCCCTTAATAGACAAACTGTTGCTTGGTAAAATAAACCCAGGGTTCTTGGAATCCCCTAGGGTAGACGCGTGGACTCTTCCAGGACTGACACCAATCGAGGTGTCTGCACTATTTCCAAATAGCCTCGTAATACGAGGTGATTCTGAGTGTTCAAAAGCCTCCGAACTTGGAAGGTTCTAGAAGTTTATATATACACTGAGATAGAGCTCAAGTGAAGGAGCAAAATTTCCGTTAGTGGCTCACCGCTGCACTAGCCCTTTATATGTTACTGCAAGAGACCTTGACTCGCAGAACCGCACGATGAGTGGTCGGCTGAACAGGAAGGCTTAACCAAGCGCGTTAGCCCTTTAAGGAAAATTGGGGTAGACAGCTTGAGCAACAGTTCAAACAAAAGCAAAGTGCAGGTACGCCAGGATGGCCAATCCTGGTATCCCGTGTTCAGACTAGCTTCGTTGGGCGTAGTCATCTGAACACGCTACGAACCCTGCTTAATCAGTTGAGGCAAGCGAAAAATAATGAAATTCTTCGGGACAGAGCTTGAGACACTCTGACAATTGTATTCAGTTAACTCAATTACCACGCTGGGAAG